TATATGTCTATATGTAACCACGTGGATATACACACATGTGTGTATGTATATATATGTATGTGTATGTATGTGTGTCTATAGCTATATACCTGTGTGTGTGTCTGTACCTCTCCCAAGGGTCTCTGGGATGGAGCTGGGCTTCCCTAATTCAGTGAGGCTTCCTCCAGGGTAGATACACGTGGCAGGATGTCTCTGCTGGTGGTCAGGGCAGAGCAACCTCACTTTGTCCGCCTCATGGCCCCGTCCTGATGCCACCAGGCATCAGGGTCTGTGTGAGACAAGCACAGCCTCCAGAAGGCCACCCCAGCTGCCACAGACGTGTCGGGTGACTTGCAGGGCTCAGTGCACCCTCCTTTGTGCCCTATCTATAAAGGTTCATGTGGCCCTGCAGGCTCTGGAGGTGGCTGACTGTGCCCTGCCCAAAGCATGTGGTCTCTGGGTGGCATGATCCACATTTGACCTATGTCCATGGCTGCGTAAAATCTTGTGGCCTTGGTCACGATGTGTAGGTGGGTGGTGTGAATAGAGGTGAAATCAGAAATACTCTGATTTCAAGGTGGAGAGCCCAATGCTGAAGGAAAAGTTCTGGTCTCATGGTGGGGACAAGAACAGCAGTAACAAAGTCCTGATCCCCTGGAGAGGTTGCTCCTGGAGGTGGTGTGCCCTGGTCTCACGGTAGGGACAGCATTACAGGGATGGCTCTTTAGCCACAGGTGGGACCCTGGTGAGGAGCGTGCTCTGTTTCCATGGTGGGACTGGCGGTGGTGATAATGGTCTGATTTCCTAGTGGGGATAAACAAGGGGGCCTATGTGGGAGTGGGAAGTCGCGTTGCTTCTGCTTCTAGGTACCAGAATGGCCAGGAGTCCGGCTCAGAAAAGTCCTGGACCTGTGTTTCTCAAATTAGAGCAAAATGGCTGTCAAGCTTTCTCCTGCAGTCACTGCCCATGTACACAGCTGTGATGCCTCTCCTCGCCCTCCTTTTCCACTCAGCATCCCACCCAAGAGACAATGGCCACAGTGACTAGGTGTCTGATTAGATGGGGAGCCTGTTAAGACACTATTGCTCTTCTAATTCTGGCTAAATTGACATTGGTTTTGTCAATCTACCTCCACAGGTCGAGCTTGTTGCTTCCGATTTCAGGTGATTTCTCTCTTGTCACTCTCTCCTTCCCTCCTCAGTTCATTGCTACCCAGCACTTCCTGTGAGGCAGCATCACTGCCTCCGAGGCTGGGCAATTAGAGACTTGGACTCCAGCAGGGAGGGCATCTTCGGATTATGCCTGCGGAGGGAGCGCCCAGCTGCAGTGTCCATAGCAACCCTCCGGCTGCCACCTTTCCCAGGAGCAAAGGAGGCAAAACAAGGGCAGGAGGCAGGCAAGGGGCCTGGCGTTCTGCAGGATTCATGTCAGAGGGCTGGGCACCCAGGCTGTAGCTCCTGACTGTGCCTGGTGGCTGGGCTGAGGGGAGAGGGGCCTTCGTCCCTCGTTTGGCATTGGTGACCTGGAGTGGAGCTGTGCTGGTGGATGCTCCATAGCAACCCAGAGATGATGGGCCGGTTGAAGGGGACCATTATGGAGGCCAGGCTGGAGTCCCGGCTGTGTGCTTGACTCACATGTGAGTGCAGGCAAGTCCCCTCCCATCTCTGGAGGGCTTCTGCTTTTGCTAATAAGGTGGGCCCGGAGACACCTCTGGCCTCCTGTCCAGCCCTCTCATTCAAAGGTTTTATGGTGCCCTCACCTGGGACAGACAACAGATGTTTTCTTCCCCGATGGTGAAAAAAACGTAAGGAAGCCTGGGAAATGAGAGCGACTTTTGCAAAATATTCACAGAAGTTGATTCTGGAACCAGATCCAGTCCCTGGGCCTCCATGGAAGGAAGCAGAAAGCTGAGGCTGGGGTTCAGGTTCTGCCTGGGGGCTCCCTCCCACCTCCCGAGGTGCCTGGAGTGTGACGCTATGTGCATGTGCCACCAGCAGAGGCCGCCACACTCCTCACAAACCTGCCACAGGTTGCTCTGCCCCCATCCCCGTGGGTGAGCACTGACCAGCTGGGACCACAATCTCAGAGGAAAGGCGGCATGGCAGGGGGCTGCCACTGGCCTCCTGGGGTCCAGGGAGGGGCTGGCTCAGGGGACTGCGGCCTCAACTGCCAGCTGGCCCTGCTGCTCCCTCACTGCCCTCCCTGTGGGAGAGACATCCATCCAGGCCCAGGGGATACTGGCCACCTTCTTCCCTGCCAGGACCCCATGGCTGCTGCGGTCTGGGCCCTCCCTTGGGCTGCTCAGGTGCCAGTTCTGGGTTTGGGAAACTGTTGGAGTTTTATTTTCTGTGAGCCATTTGAGGCTGGGGCCTGGAAGCTGATTTAGGCAGCAAATCTGAATTGAGAACATGCTCTATGACAGGCCCTGGTGTTACAGGAGTGAATAAAATAGACACTAGTGCTGCCCTGTGGAGCCAAGTCTCCAGTGGGGACGGGTGTCGTCACCTGCACCACGGTGTGGGGCTGGGCGGGACACACCCACCCAGGATGGCACCTGATGGCTCTCTCTACCCAGTTGGCCCCATTCAGACTCCAGGGCCTACCCAGACTCCAGGGCTGAGGCTCTGATGAGGAGCCCTTGCCAGGCAGGGGTCCTGCAGACACCAGCCAGTCCACGTGGGCAGCACTCCACTGTGCGCAAAGTGTGTACCTCCGCCGCTCCCATGAGCCCAGCAGGCATCTTGGTGACAGAAGGTTGGTACCCTGTGCCCATTTCCCATGCCTTCTTTCCAGACATGGCATCAACACCTTCCATTCGACCCTTGACTCCCTCAAATAAATAAACATTCCCAACCAGACTGACGCATCTGGTTCCCACACCAGAGCCTCAGAGAAGGGGTCAGGAGACGCGTTTAAAAATGTATCTCGGTTTTCACAAGACAACTGCGCAGGAGGGGTGAACGATCCCAGGTTCGCAGGCTTGGAGGGGCGCATCTTGCTCATCAGGGTCCCTGGCAGGAAAACGGCCGCCTGGAACCAGACGGGTCGATTCCCCACCGAAGGCTGCTGCGGCTCCTGGCCTGGCGGCTCCACTGTCTTCTCTCCAGGTTAGGACTAGCCTGGCCTCTGTGGAGTTTTAGAAGTAGAATCATCAGCCTTTGTCCATATAGGTCTCCATGGAGCTGATCTTTTGAGACCTTTCCCCACTCCTGTTAGAGGAGGTTTCATGAAGGACCCAGGCAGGAGTGGCAGGCAGGAGGGATACCTTCTCTAGAAGGGGACGAAGTTCGGTAGCAGAGTCTGAGTGGGGAGGGTGTGACCTCACAAAGCACATAGACCTGTGTGGCTCATGGCTTGGACTCTCCCCTCCTCTGTGAACAAGAGCAGGCTAGTTACTGTCTCTGAAACTTGACTTGGTTTCTTAATCTGTAGAATGGGGATACTAACCTTATCGCCTGGCATGTTGGAACCACTAACACCCAGAGTTGGCCCTCAGTAAATGCTCCAGGTGTAGGGAATCAGGCCTTATGTCCCATTTACCTTGACATTCAGACAAGGCTTCAGCTTTTCCTTTTTTTTTTTTTTGATGGAATTTCACTCTTGTTGCCCAGACTGGAATGCAATGGTGTGATCTTAGCTAACTGCAACCTCAGCCTCCTGGGTTCTAGCGATTCTCCTGCCTCAGCCTCCCTGGTAGCTGAGATTACAGGCGCCCGCCAATACGCCCAGCTAATTTTTTATATTTTTAGTAGAGATGGGGTTTCACCATGTTGGCCAGGCTGGTCTTGAACTCCTGACCTCAGGCAATCTACCTGCCTCAGCCTCCTAAAGTGCTGGAATTACAGGTATGAGCCACGGCACCTGGCTTAGAGCTTCAATTTTTCTTTAGCAAAGCAGAGTATAGGGAGGAGCCTGCATGAAGCTGAAGACTCCTTGGCACCCGTAGGTGGCTGAGAGTTGTTGGTGCATGGCCTGGGAACAGGTAAGGTGCTGTGCTCCTACCTCGCTCCTCGGATCATGGCTTGCGGGGGTAAGGTGGGCATTCATTATGAGGCCTCACCCAGGGTGGGACATGCAGGGACTCAGAGGACAGAAGTGTGGACAGGAGGCCTATGCATACCAGCTGGCATTCCTGGAGGCCAGCAGGGCAAGTAAGAGGCAAGTCATGTGTCCTGGGTTAAAGTGCCCTAAATTATCACTCACGTGAAACTCACTCACCCTCTTACCCATTTATATATTCAACACACCATTTGGGTGCAGCATAAAATGCAGTGTTTTGTGTGTGTGTGTTTTGCAACTTATACAATAAGCTTCTGTCATCAAGAAGCTTATGGTGTCAATTAAAATCAGGGCGATTAGCCGGGCGTGGTGGTGGGTGCCTGTAATCCCAGCTGCTCGGGAGGCTGAGGCATGAGAATCGCTTGAACCTGGGAGGCAGAGGTTGGAGTGAGCCGAGGTAGAGATTGAGCCACTGCACTCCAGCCTGGGCGACAGAGCAAGACTCTGTCTCAAAAAAATAAAATAAAATAAAACATAAAATCAAATCGGGGAGAGAGGACACATATAGAGACAACACCAGTTCAGGGCAAGAGGTGAACAGTTTTCCCAGAGAGGTACAGTCAAGTGCGGAGGGAATTCGGGAGAGGGAGACAATGTCAAACTTCGGGCGCGGAGGAGGGAGGTCAGGGAAAGTTCTGGGCAGGGCTGGCACTTGTGCTACTCCCTAAATTCTTATAGGACAGGACACAGAGCAGGAGGTGGGCTGGAAGGGCTTTCCAGGTGGAAGGGATGGGAAAGAGCAGACAGACCCAGGTTCAAATCCATGCCTAACTGGTGACCTTGAGCAAACTACTGAAATCTTTCTAAACTCCAGTTCATGGGGTGAAAGTGGGAACAACAGAACCTCCCCAGCCAGCCTTCCAGGGCTGCCAAGAGTTGCAAATGAAGTATTTTATGTAAAAGCAGTTGGAAAACTAAAGTGGTCTGCAAACACAGGGTTTGTTTTTATTATTAGAGCATTAATTAGTCCAGTAACGAAGCTCCCAGATAAGAACACAGTAATGACTGAACCCACATGGGCTAATGAGCTGAAATAGCATGACTTATGGGAGAGCTACAGTAGGTCGGCGATGCTGGGGCTTAAGGAGGAAGGTGGTGAGGAATGAGCCAGGGAAGGAGGGCAGGAACTGAGCGACAGCATGCTTGCTGTGGCTGGCATGGCCAAAGGCCACCCCTACCTTCCTTGTTCACTCTCCCTGTACTCTCTGGGGTAAGAAGCTCCTCCACACCCTCCTCTGCAGACTAAAGAGGCCTAATTTGTCAGCCTCTCATCTTAGGGCAGTATAAGGAGTTACTCCCCATTCTTTAAGCTGTGGCTTACGTATCACCACCTCCATGAAGCCACCCTTGACAACCCTCTGCCTTCAGTGAACTCTACTGTCTCGACCACCCTTTGGGATTGTCATTGCTGTATTTTGTCACCCATGTGAGTATAACTTGTCTCTACAGTGAGACTAAGTTCCTGAGGGTTTGATGTGTGAGTCGCGTGGTAATGTTTAATCACTATCAGTAAGACTGAATCTTTTGCATTTGGGTTTCAGGACATATGTTGAGTGTTTGAGCTTTGAGGTTGGACAGGCCTGGGTTTGATTCCAGCTTTATGACTAGTTATTAATTAGTAACTCTGGGCAAGTTTTACAATGTGTCTAATGTCTCAGTTTTCTCATCTATAAGATGGGTGAAGGCCTCCACTCAGGCTGCTGTGAAGACACGGTTGTGGCTGGGGGCCAGGGGAAGCACTGGGGACTTTTCAACAGTGGGGCTTTGACATGCAGCAACAGCAGACAGATGACACCTGAGAGCAGTGCATCTGGAGGGCAGCATGGAAAACCTGCCATGATCAGGCTCTGCGGTTGAGCGCTCCCAGCTGATTCACTAACCTGGCGGTGCTTGGCAGTTACAAAGTACTTGGCCGGTGCTCTCACTGGAACTAAGGAAATTGAAGGCCTGAGAAGATAAGCAATTGGTCACACAGTGGGCAAGTGGCAAAGCTTGTGCTGGTGAGCAGAAAGGCAGAGGGTGGCATGCACAGCCTGTATATAATGACATAGGCGGCAGCAGTGCGCTGATACATACCCAACAGCCAGGAAAAGTTTAATAAGCGGCTTCCAGGAAAACATAAGCTCTAATTTACAGTGTTAGCTGATTTCTTGGTGTAAATACTCCTAGCATGGTTGATTTCAAGCTGCCAATGTGACATCACTGTGGAGTCAGGAAGAGATGTATATGGATGATCAGAAGGTCATCTTGCCTGCGGTCACGCAGCTGTCCTGCGGTAGAGAAGGGCTCCAGCCTGGGCAGTCTGACACTTGAGCCCAAGCTGTAAACATGACATTGTTCTTCTCCTGTTCATGACAGGATAGCTGTAACAAGGGGCATGAGCTGGCTCAGTGGCGTCAGCTGTCAAGTTCCAGTCCATTTCCAGATAACCACTGATCTTTGGTGGGCTCCACCCAAGCTATTTCTCATCCTCGTCCGTGATGGCAGGACGTGCTCTAACAGGCCCCATTTGGATCCCACTGGCACAGCCAGGAGAACTGGAGGCATGAGGCTGGCCAGAAAGGTTAGCTGAGGCAGCTGGGTGTGGAGTGAGCACAGGAATACCCAGGCCTGGAGCCTGCTCTCCAAAATGAATTTTTTGCAGCCCAGAAGCTGTATCCAGCACTAGAAAACCACAATGAACAGCACGTTTTTTGCTACTAACAACATATTCATGATAATTTATTGGAAGATCATTAAACTTAAGTATGTGATCTGGAGACTTGAATCAAGCAGGTGGCTCTATCTGGGGATGGAGGAGTGGGAGGGACATCAAGAATACAGAAGGGAAGGAGAGGGAAGGCAGGAGAGCCTGAAGGGGCTGGGGGTGGGTGCTAGAGGGTCTGGTCATGGGAAAACACACGAGATCCCAGGCTTGCATCTGAGGCCTGGAGCTGTGACCTGTAGTGTGTGTGTGTGTGTGTGTGTGTGTGGGTGCGTGTGTGCGTATGTGTGTGTGTGTGTGTGTGTGTGTGTGTGGTGGCAGGGGTAGGGGGAATGACTACGTCATTGATGATAACAAGAATCAAGATTGTTATTTTATATTTTAACTTTTTAGAGACAGCATCACACTCTGCCACCCGAGCTCACTGCAGCCTCAAACTCTTGGGCTCAAGCAGTCCTCCTCCCTCAACCTCCTGGGTAGCTGGACTACGGGCACTTGCCACTATGTCCAGCTAATTAAAAAATTTTTTTTGTAGAGACTGGGTCTTGGTATGTTGTCCAGGCTGGTCTTGAACTCCTGCCTTCAATCAGTCCTCCTGGCTTGGGCTCCTGAATTGTTGGGATTATAAGCCTGAGCCACCATGCCTGGCCGGAATCAAGACTATTGGGCAAGAGCAATCATCAGGTGTTTGGGGTTGTGGCTTGAATTACAAGTAATATTTAGCTCTCAATCATCAGAGGTGATGGGGGATTGGAGGGGTGAGAACTTATATACAGAGGGTAATTTGGGCTCATTTGGGGGGAGCTGTGTCCCTCCCTGACCTGGCTACTTGCTGCTTACCAGTCAGGAGAGCTGCTTTAGAAGCTTCCTGTGTGCATGTGCACATGCATGGACTAGTACACATGTGCATGTGTGTCCACCTGCTTAACATGTTTTCTGGGTGTGTGTCCGTGTATGTGTGCATGGATCTCCTGCCCTTTCCTCTTCCCATCTAGGGAGGGAGCTGGACAGAGGCCAAAGGGTGATGGGGAATCAAGGACCAGAGAAGAGGAGGCCTCCCTTTTAAAACCCCAGGTGTGCTGGGGAATTCCATCATGGTGACTTCCTTTCTGATGCCTAAGGCTGCTGCAGTTAGAAATGAAAATAAATTCAGCTCTGGTCCCATCCCTTAGAACCCCCTCTGTACACAGTGGGAGCTTAATAAATACTTGATGATGATGATTTTGAACCTGGGAAGCCAGCAGCTGTTCCTCGCTCTGACTCTCAGAGCCCCATGGGGCAAATCAGGCAGGGAATGACCATGGAGGGTCTTGAGTCTTCCTGCCAGATCCCCCTGTGACTCCACGCCCAGCTGTTAGGGAAGGGGCTGGAGCCATGGTCCGCTTCACACATTCTGCTTTGGGGAGGCCAGTTCTTCCTCAACAGCTTCTCTTTGGCTTTCCCCCATCCAACATTTGAACAATATTTATTGAACAACCACTATGTACTGAATATCATAGCGGAAATGTGTTCTGGGAGACAGTATAGTATTTGTAGGGTCAGATTGACTAAGTTCAAATCCCAGCATCTTTACAAACGGGGTGACATCTGACAAGTTATATATCTATGTTTGAGTGTTTTTTCCCCTTTCCTTTCTCTCCTCCTCCTTCTTCTTCCTCCCTCCTCCTTTTCCTCCTCTTCCTTCCTCCCTCTTCCTCCTTCTTCTTTTCCCCTAATTCTCCTTTCTTCCTCTTTCCTCCTTCTCCTCCCTCCTCCTCCCCCTACCCCCTCCTCCTCCTTCTCCTTCTCCTTCTCCTCCTTCTTCTTCTTTCTTTCTTTCTTCTCCTTCTTCTTCTTTTCATCTGTAAAAGGAGAAAGTTGACATCATTTTCGTGGGGCTGATGTGAGGGTTGGAAATAGGGCGCCTGAACACATGGCGTAGGCACTCTGTCAATGGTGTGTGGGTTTATCCACCCGGTGTCAGGAGGTGGATCCCCCCCGCTTCTGTGACCTTGACGTTGTTACTCAACATCTCTAAGCATCAGACTTTGTAAATGAGACCATATTGCCCACCTCCTTGGGTGTTTGGAGAATGTATCCGGATAATATGTGTGAAATAACCTATGGTAAACCCTGGGGGTTAATAAATGCTTACCTTCCCCTCCGTCTGCCTTTCCCCTCATCAGGGTACACACCTCCCCTCCTTAGGAGGCTCTCTGTCCTCCTCCCCATCGCCTCGCGTGAGCGAACATCCCTTGTCGCCGTGGGCTTGCGGGTTGTGGCCATACCTGTCAGAGAAAGAGGGCAGTGGCTCAGCTCCGGGGCGGGGGAGCAAAAACTACAGTTCCCAGCCCTCGCTGCGCCGCCACTGGGGCCGGAGCCGAGGACGCCAGGCCCCTCCTCTGGGGAGGAGCCTATGCGGGGGGCGGAGCTAGGAGGAGGTTGGAGAGTTAAGCCAAGCCAATGAGACCAGCTGCTAATAAGTGGGCTTGGCTTACAATGTAACAGTGGCAGGAGGAGGCGAGCGAAGCTATTGAGCCAGCGAGGAGTGAAGCTGAGCCTGGCCTCACACGCTCCTAGAGGACCACCTCCTGAGAGTTCTTTCACCCCCTCTTCTTTCTCCAAGCTCCCCTCCTGCTCTCCCTCCCTGCCCAATACAATGCATTCGTGAGTGGCAGCGTCTGGACTCCAGGCAGCCCCAGAGAACCGAAGCAAGCCAAAGAGAGAGGACTGGAGCCAAGACACTGGTGGGGAAGATTGGATGCCTGGCTTTCTTTGAGAACATCTTTGGAGCGAGGGTGGCTTTGGGGTGGGGGCTTGTGCTGCAGGGAATACAGCCAGGCCCCAAGATGGACACTTCTGGGCACTTCCATGACTCGGGGGTGGGGGACCTGGATGAAGACCCCAAGTGCCCCTGTCCATCCTCTGGGGATGAGCAGCAGCAGCAACAGCAGCAGCAGCAGCCGCCGCCACCACCGCCAGCGCCACCAGCAGCCCCCCAGCAGCCCCCAGGACCCTCGCTGCAGCCTCAGCCTCCGCAGCTTCAGCAGCAGCAGCAGCAGCAGCCACCGCATCCCCTGTCTCAGCTCGCCCAACTCCAGAGCCAGCCTGTCCACCCTGGCCTGCTGCACTCCTCTCCCACCGCTTTCAGGGCCCCCCCTTCGTCCAACTCCACCGCCATCCTCCACCCTTCCTCCAGGCAAGGCAGCCAGCTCAATCTCAATGACCTCTTGCTTGGCCACTCTCCAAGTTCCACAGCTACAAGTGGGCCTGGTGGAGGCAGCCGGCACCGGCAGGCCAGCCCCCTGGTGCACCGGCGGGACAGCAACCCCTTCACGGAGATCGCCATGAGCTCCTGCAAGTATAGCGGTGGGGTCATGAAGCCCCTCAGCCGCCTCAGCGCCTCCCGGAGGAACCTCATCGAGGCCGAGACTGAGGGCCAACCCCTCCAGCTTTTCAGCCCCAGCAACCCCCCGGAGATCGTCATCTCCTCCCGGGAGGACAACCATGCCCACCAGACCCTGCTCCATCACCCTAATGCCCACAACCACCAGCATGCCGGCACCACCGCCAGCAGCACCACCTTCCCCAAAGCCAACAAGCGGAAAAACCAAAACATTGGCTATAAGCTGGGACACAGGAGGGCCCTGTTTGAAAAGAGAAAGCGACTGAGTGACTATGCTCTGATTTTTGGGATGTTTGGAATTGTTGTTATGGTGATAGAGACCGAGCTCTCTTGGGGTTTGTACTCAAAGGTAGGGGCTGTGGTTTCTCTTTATACCTTGAACAAAAGGAATATGTAGGTAGCAAGACAGAGATTGAGAGAAAGGGACTGAGAGAGAGAGATTGAGAGAGATTGGGAAGGAGACTGGGAGAGAGGTGGTGGTGGTGGTGGTGAGAAGCGCTTGCTCAGTTGTACTGAACACCCTAACTTCCCGTGGTTTTCCTTCTTGATCCCGGGAGAATTCATTCCTCGCTTCCTTTGGGGGGTAGGGGACATCCCCACACACTGTGTCTAATTTGCAGACTCTCTGTCAGGGAGGATTAAAGAATCCCTTCTGAGAATTCGTTTTTCCTCCTGGCTCACTCGTACTAAAGCATAACCCAGCAGCTTAACGCACCAATTAATTACACTCCGCCTTGATGTGTTTGCCAGTTCCTGCGACTTCCCCTCCTTTCCTCCCCTCCCTGCTCCACTCCATTTTCCTGAGGATAAAAAAGAAATAAATGTCTGGGTGGGGGGTGGGGATTCCATGCCATTGCCCAAGTCCCTTCTCTCCCTGTCTTCTCCCTCTCTTCCCAAGTTTCTATTTCCCTCCTCTTCTCAGAGAGACTCCGGCAAAATAGAAAACCATCCATGACCTGGGTCTCCTGAGGGTATGGGGTAAAAATATAGCTGGGGGAAATCAGTGGTCCTTTCCCTCGGGAGAGAGGACTCGACAAGCCTGCTGCTGCTTCATAAACATCTCCTGATAAAAATGGCTACAGGTGTTCCCCGGGCAGCGCAGCTGGGCGCCGCCTTGGCATCAGCTCGGGGAGCACCTCTCTTTGGGATGGGATGACAGGGCTTCCCGGGCGGTCCCCGAGAGCCCGCGCCCCAGCTCAGCCCCAGTTCTCCCCTCCCACCTCAACTCCTTCTCCTTGGGATAAATAAAGATGAGTGTGTGTGTGAGTGTGCGCCCGGATGGAGAACAGCAGGCACTGGCTTTAGTGGGGAGCTGGCCCCACTGCTCCAGCCTCTCAATCCAGCTCCAAGACGGAGGAGGGGGCTTCCCTCCCAGAGGGAATGGAGATGGAAGAAGGTGGGTTTCTGCCGACGCTCTGCTTGCTGGGGAGCCCTCCTGCTGTGGGCTGGAAGGCTTGGAGACCTGGGAATCGGTGGACAGGTGGCTCCATGATACCCCATCCTCAATTTGTTGAGGTGTGTGTGTGTATGTGTGTACGTATGCATGCGCCTGCTTGTTGCTTGGATTTTTCTATTTATTTGTCATTTGGGGCAGGGGGTGGCTGGGCGGGCTGGCCAGCGGGTAGCTGGGAGGGGTTCAGCTGTTGGAGGTTTCAAATAGAGCTTGTTTCAGGCAGGGCACAGCTGCTGCGAGACTGTCACATTCCTTATTGAAATCCAGCCGCAAAAACCTAGGAGGTGCTGATCGGATTTCCCCCATTCCCAGCATTTCGCTTTAACCAGGGATGGGCAGACTTTCCCGCCCTGGAAAAGGGTGGGGGGCGGACCTGTCAGGCGACCTGAATAGCCAGGACCAAGACTTCCAGGCAGAGGGTCCTCCAGGGACCTGGCTGCTCTCAGGGGGCTGCCCCGGCTGAGGGTGGCACCTGGGAGCTGCCTTCGTCAAAATAGCTCAAGGATGAGCGTCTCAGCGAGCAGAAGCGAGAGGGGTTTCCCCTGGAATCGCAGCTCACTTAGTCATTCCCTGTAATGAGCCTCTGCGTCTGCGGGTCCTTCTGCTCGCTGCCTTCTCAGAACCGCCTCTCCTGCTGGGCACTCCAGGAGATGGGGCTGGCAGTCTTGCCAGGGCTGACAGCTGCCCTGGTCACAGCCCTGGCTCTCTCCAGTCCTCCCCTGGAGGCCAGGGGCCCTCACTGGGGGAAACTGGTGAAGGCCCAAATGCAAGGGGGGTGTGGGGGAGGGCAACCCCAGCACCTTCTCTTTCAGTGACACCATGGTCAGACTTCTTAAGGAAACAGCTCTTCCCAGAGGCAGTGGCTGTGCACAGATGCACAGATCCCAGTGTGGGATCTACACACACTTGTCTTAATGTGATGGGAGGGTCACCACTGTGCAGGGTCGGGGCCTCTTCCCTGCCTGGGGCAGGTGCACCCCGAGGGAGAGCTCAGGGAAAGGGGCTTTTCCAGAGATGGGAAGGTAGATTTTAGGTGAATGAAGGGTGGGGCCACCTGAGGTGCTTGGCTCTCCCCATTTCACAGACCCTCAAGCAGCAGTGGCGTACACCTAGGGGCAGCAGCTGAGAGGTCCTGCTTGCCTCAGCAGCCACTTCCTGTGCGCCTGGGGGCTGGTGCTGTAATGAGCAGAGCTCACTTACGCTGCTCACCCACTCACCACCCCTGCATTTTCCATCCGTGTTTTTCATTTATGGAACAGGTATTTTCTGGGTGTCTCCTAAGTACCAGGCCCCATAGACACAGCAGGGCCAAGGTAGATACCCCTCTCTCCTGGAGGCAGATGGGATCATTTCAAAGAACTGGGCCAGAGTTGGAATCCCAGCTCTGCCGCTACTATTTGTATGATCTTGGACAAGTCCTGGAGGTTTAGCGAGCCTGTTTCCCCAGCTGTCGAGTGGTGAGAATTAAATTAGAGAAGTGTCAGGCATGTATCTGCCTGCTCAACAGATGGGATTTATTGGGATTGTTATTGATGATGACAATGATGGCAGGAAAGCAGCCGTCTTTCTCCTGTCATCTAACTCCAGCTGTAAAATCAGGGCCTTAACAGATCGGGATCTAAGACCTGTGGATGGAGTGAGAAGTTGTATCAGGGAGGGAAGAAGTTCTGAGAAGAGCTGGGGCTGACGAGAGACCACCTTTGAACATGATCTGTTCTTGGGGGGAGGTAAACATCTGTGTCTCAGTTTCATGGAGGAAATGGACTCTACTCCTCTGTGGCCTGGGTTAGATAAGAGTCGCAGCCCAGGAGAGCTCAGGGACATTCAGTGGACCCTGGGGAGGGATAGGTGACACTCTTGTTTGCTGGAGAGTTTTGTGTGCCTGGTTGGCTGTGCTGACAGGTCTGGAGGCAAGTGGATGGACGAGGCCACCTCAGGGGCACCAGGCAGATGAGGTAGATCTGCCCCGCCAGTGGCAGCTCCCACTCAGAGGCTCTCTGGGAGAGGACAAACTTTTTTTTTTCCCCAAGCGATTGAAGATTGACTAACCTTGTGTCTGAGCTGCTGCTTTCTGAAGTTCTCTGCTTTTTCCTGTGGGGTTGTGGCCTTGCTGTTCCCTGGTGTTTGGTGGGTGCTGTTGCTGGGGAAGGAACTCATCACGCAGGCCTGGGTGTCCTGAAAAGGAGTGTGGCATGTGCCCTGAGCATGTTCCGTGAATGCAAATGTGAGCCAGTGTGAGGGGGTTGAGCAGCCGGGACAGAACATCCCAGCTCCTGCCTCACAGGCCTGTAGGTGCTGGTGTTGGGAGGAAGCTCTACTAGGAGGCATCAGCCTGGAGCAGGGAGGTGGGGCTTGATTCCAGGGTGAGCTCAGATAAGAGGAGAGCTTCTCATCATTATGCCTGGGACATGAGACCAAATGGCAGAGAGATGCCTGAGATAGCCTCAGTAGGCTCCTAAAGGTATCAGGTGACCCAAACCAAATGAGGAATCTTTTTTTTTTTTTTTTTTTTTAAATAGGCAGGTTTACTCTCTGAAGGCTTAGACACGGTGACAAGACCTGGTCTAGAGATTCTGTTGAGAGTCTTAGTCACGCCGTCTCTACCTATTCGTGTCACTCGGGTAGAGCAGCAAGGACCTGGGGAGTCCTTCTTGGTGTTCTTTATATCTTCTTCTAGTGCTGGTTGGAGCACACCCGCTCCATTAAATCACCTCTATGCTGTCTTCCCTGGGTCCAGAAAGAATGAGGGAGGGGAAAGATCTGGCTGCCCTCCCCCTTCCCCAGGCTGTGACTTCACCACCCTGACCCTGCCATGGTGTTGGTGGCTGAGCTGGTAACCTCTGAGTGGGGGCAAGGCACCCGTGGGCCTTGTTCCTCACGGGGCTCAGGCGCTGGGCTGTGGGGTGGTCTCCGGGGAGGCTGGAGCATGCTGGTGCAGCCGCGTGGCTCTTCTTCCCCACCAGTCTGTACAACCTCAAGCTACTTCCCCGCCCCCGGCCTCGAAACTGGCCTGCACCTCTCCTCCCAGGCAGAACCAGCCCTCTGCCCACCCCCCAGCCATGCCCCCGTATTGCCCGCCCCACCAACTTCCTGCCCCTCTGCTCCTCTCTGCTTCCCCTGCCTGGCCTTGTTGCTGGGGTAACCCAGGCAGCACAGAGAGGAGTTGGGGTGATGGCGCTTACCCGGTTGCCCCGCCTGCTCCCACAGTGGCTTTTTCTCACCTCTAGTTATTCTTTCTTCAGACAACCTCATGGCAGGCCACCCTGGTGGCACAGGCTTCTTTGCATGCCCAGGGAAGCCTGGTCCTCTGGCCGTTCATCTTTTTTTTTTTGAGACAGAGTCTTGCTCTGTCACCAGGCTGGGGCGCAGTGGCTCAATCTCGGTTCACTGCAACCTCTGCCTCCCAGGTTGAAGCGATTTTTCCGCCTCAGCCTCCCAAGTAGCTGGGACTACAGGTACATGCCACCACGCCCAGCTAATTTTTGTATTTTTAGTAGAGATGGGTTTTACCATATTGGCCTGGATGGTCTCAATCTCTTGACCTCGTGATCGGCCTGCCTTGGCCTCCCAAAGTGCTAGGATTACAGGCGTGAGCCACCGTGCCCAGCCTGGCCGTTCATTCTTTAAAGAGGTAGGCCAAGGTATTATCTTAGGCCAAGGCCAACTTGTCTGTCTCTTTGCAGACCTTAAAGAGGTCCGTGAGTCCACCCCCAGCCTCCAGCCCAAATGATTGAGGAGTATCACTGGCCCCAGTTCTGCTCTTCTGCCCTCCCTGGTCTCGGAAGCCTTGTCTGCAGAAGGGCAGAGCAGCAGCCCAGCCTTGACTGGCCGAGTGGCTCTGCATCTTCTGTTTGACCAGGTGCTGCTTTGGGATAGGTTGTTGGCGGTCACAGTGTCCTGGTATTTTTGAGAAGATGCCTCTGGGCACTGGTACCTGTGTTTCAGACATGGCAGAAGAGCAGGAGTAGGATAGACGCTCTCCAGCCCTTCCTGTGGACCCTCCCTGTGGGTCGCCCTGCAGGACCGGGATGCAGAAGGCAGGAGACTGGCTGAGAGTCTGTGAGCCAGCTGCCGAGGGCCCTAGGTGCGTGTCATGTCTTCACAGGTCACACTGAGTGTGTCGGCTCACAGGAGGGCAAGCGCAGTTCTGACAGCGTGAGAATGGCCTTCACTCTCACCTGCCGTGGGGTGGTGGTAACTTTATTCATAATCTTTGTGGACAGTCTGTAAATGAGTCAAGCATTTGTAACCCACAGGGGGATGGCTAACTTTTTACATATGCTTCTCCCTTTCGTGTCACCACACTATTTATAACTGTCCTGGGGGAAAGACTCATCACACGTCGGACTTCCCTTCCCCACAGGCGGCGTCACCCGGGCGCTCGGGCAGTGGCATCCTGGCTGGGGCATTTATCTCTGGCGGAGCCTCATTAGAAAGCCATCGGATGGCCTCATATTTCTCTTACTGCGCTTTCAGGAAGAGGGATTTATAAGGCCATGGTCAAAAGATCTGCTTTAAAAGATAGAAGGTAAAGAAAATGAAAATGAAAAGAAATTTGAGTGACCTCTGCAGAGACTCTGAGGCCCGACCGGAAATGGAAAATCAGAATGAGCGCTTCGGTTCTGCTGAAGTTATTCGCAAAGTACATTTGGGGGAGAAAATGAGCGCGTGCGGGGGTTGTGGGGGCGGCTGTACGTTGATGAAATACCACTCTCCTCAGCTCGGTGACAAGCAGGCCAGCACCTTCCTTGGTAGCTAGCTCTTTTTCTTCTCTTTCTTTCAAAACCCCAAAGGGAGAGCAAGAAAGCAAGCTACCTATTTGTCTTTAAATAATGAGGGTGGGGAATTCTGAGACTGTGCTGTTCTCAAGAGCTGTGGCAGGAACATTCTAGTGCCTTTTCTTGGGGCGAGAAAAGTCCGGAGGAGGCGAATAGGTTTGTAAGTGCCCCCTCCCCCGACCCTGTCATTCCACCCCCAGGAACGCAGCTGGGATCTGAGGGAAAGGATGCGAGGAGCGTCTGGGGGCAGGGACCACGCTACTTTCTGGTCGCCCAGCACTTAGCTGGGCAGGCGGGGATGTTGCTGAGTGACAGGAGAGGGGAAGGCAAGGACCGATTGCTGAGCGCAGGGCTGGCTTTATGTGATACCCGGAGTATAATGAGCAGGTCTTGCTCGTCACCCCCTGTGTGGATGAAGTCACCGGGCCACGCTGACACAACGGTGGTGGCGCTGAGATAAGAACCCTGGACCGTTTAACTCTCAAGTTCATGCCCTTTCCTGTGCTGGCTGCTGCTGGTGAGATTGCCGGTAGCCTTAAAAGAGACAAATTGAGTTTATGGCCCTGAGACCCGTGATGCCAAATGTTGGGACAGGAGGAACTTTACCAAGAGCAGGGCAGGAAGGGCTTGAGGGAGGGCGGGAGATGCCGGCGTGGGTCCCAGAGAAGACCCGCTGGAGCGGCGGCCAGGGCCAGTATGGGTCCCCAGGGTAGCCTGGGTGCAGGGCGAGGTTGTGGACTGCCCGAGGTCAGTTCTTGATGCCTCCTCTCTGGGGGTCTGGTGCTACTGCCATCAGTGTGATACTGGGCAGGCTATGAGAGGGTAGGTGTGGGGATGACAGGGAAAATGAAAGCCCATCCTGCAAAAGCCCTGCCACAGCCCCCCAGCACCCCCACCCTCTACCCCTGGAGGGCCATTGGACCCCCAGGCCCCACTGGACATGTCCCTACACAGCTCTGTTCCCCTCCCCTCTGCCTTGCTCCCCCAGCACTGGCTGTGTGGCTGCTGATCCGGGACAGTTACATGAGCTCAGCATCTTACATCTTACAAGATTTTTCATGCCTGGGTCCCTCATGACCCCCACGGTGACTGGCCCAGGGCTCATTACGACCAACTGTTTCACAGATGAGAAAACCGGGCTGCACAGGGGGTCCCGGGGTTGAGTGACTCCAAGTGCCCATCTCAGGAGAGATGGTTCTAGAATGAGAGGTCAGGTCTCAGTGCACTTCTGGTTTCCCTGTTCCAAACCCCACCACAAACTTCTGCTGGGGGTTTGAGTGAGGGACCTCTAAGGGCTTCTTCATTCCTGGTTCTACAGGTTTCTTCTTCATTCTTTTTTTTGAGACGGAGTTTCGCTCTTGTTACCCAGGCTGGAGTGCAATGGCGCGATCTCGGCTCACCACAACCTCCGTCTCCTGGGTTCAGGCAATTCTCCAGCCTCAGCCTCCTAAGTAGCTGGGATTACAGGCGCACGCCACCATGCCCAGCTAATTTTTTGTATTTTTAGTAGAGACGGGGTTTCACCATGTTGACCAGGATGGTCTTGATCTCTTGAACTCGCGATCCACCCGCCTCAGCCTCCCAAAGTGCTGGGATTACAGGCGTGAGCCACCGCGCCCGGCCCTTCTTCATTCTTGAGTCCCACTTTCCTGCGTCCCTGTCTGTGCCCCAGGCCTCTGCCGAGCTCTGTCGTGGGCAGTGAGTGCTGGGAAAAGGCCCGTGTCTGCTTTGAGCCCCTCAGGAGGTGCTTCTGCCTTTTGCTTCCAGCTTGTTGTGTGATCTTTATCAAGTTCCTTCTCTTCTCGGGGCCTCCGTTTCTCTGGCCTAAAAGCAGGAGCTGAACTCCCTTCCTGTGCCGAGGCTTCGCAATCTGATTCCAGATCATGTTTCACCACAAAGATGAGCAGCCACAGTCCTGAGTGTCCTGTTCTCCGGGCTGCGGGCACCACCCAGAAGGCCTCCTCCACCCTGGCTGGACGGGGGTTTATGGTGTTGGTGTTTGGGAGGACTGAGGAAGGAGACAGTGACTCAGACTGGGGACGTTCGGCAGATTCCCTGGAGGAGGTGGTAGGGGGGTCCCTGAAGGACCAGACAAGCCAGGATGGGAGGGGCTCAGGCGGGAGTTCAATTCTCAGTGTGAGAAGCCAAGGGAGAGGGGCAGAGTGTGCAGGGAACGGAGCGGGCATGAGGGCAGCTTCAAGTTGCTGCTGTGCGTTGTGCACAGGGGCATGCAGGAAGGAAAGAGGAGACTGTGTCCCATCCAGAAAGGTTTTCGCCAGGCAGCGAACACACAGCCAGGGCAAGGGCACAGCGATGAATAGAATGTTTAGTAGCATCGGTAACCGCCAGGGCCGCAGAGTTCTTTCTGCACTCCCCTGAAAACCTGACATCGTTCTTTCTCAGAGGTGGCCGGGCTTGGTAGTTAAGGACTTGGGGCTGGGTGCGATGGCTCACGCCTGTCATCCCAGCACTTTGGGAAGCTGAGGTGGACAGATCACCTGAGGTCAGGAGTTCAAAATCAGCCTGGCCAACATGGCAAAAACCCATCTCTACTGAAAATACAAAAGTTAGCTGGACATGGTGGCGCAAGCCTGTGATTTCAGCTACTC